GTCATTGTTGCTGCCCCACGGCCTGTCACAGCAGTGCCCCTGGTTGTTGTCCAGCCACAGTGTTGACCAGTATTTCTAGTGTTGTCACTGCCACTGGCAGATTACTGCCGCTAGGTCCATCCCCCTGGCTCAAGACCCAAGCTGGCTTCTGGCTGTCCCATCTCTCACTGGAGTCCTGGATTTGCTGTGTCCCATCCTAGGATCTGGTCCCTTGTCTGTGGGATGGGGACAGGACAGTTCAGGCTAATGGGGGTAGGACAGCAGGAGTGCATGTACCACATGGTTCTCCCCAAGTCTAGGGTCAGTGCAGATCCTGGCTGCCCAGGGCTATGTTGGGGCCCAGGACACCTGGGCCTTCTCTCCTGGCCAGTGGGCACAATGGTCTCTCCCTGCAGTGGCACAGCCTTGGCTAGGGAGAGGCCAGGGGATCTGTCAGGCTGTTCCCTCTCCTGATCTATCTCCTTCACCACCCCCTGCCCTGGGAAGGAAACTGAGGCACCACTGCTCAGTTGTGGGCAGCACTGCCCTCAGGACAGTGGCATTTGAATGAGGTCAGCTCAACCCCAGGGAGTAGGCCCCTCTGTCAATGAGTGAACTGAGACACGAGAGCTGCTGTGATCTGCCCAGCCTCAGACTCACTCTGACCCAGGATGGGGAACAAGGTGCAGGACCTGATGCCTCTCCCCGGCCCCTGCTATTCCCTCTGAGAAGTCCCTGCCCTACCACACAGCCACACGATCCTTATTTATTTATTTATTACTCCTCCGTCTCTGTGCATAACTTTTGATTTCCTTGCTGCGTTTTTCCCATTACGGCGGCCGTGGACATTGCCGATAAGATCGGTCCCCAGAGATGGGACAAAGGGGCTGCCGTCGGCTTGAGGGCTGGTCATATCCTGCACGAAAGGGCCGAGCGGGGCCTGAGATGAGGCGAGATGCTATCGTGGGCCTTATTGTGTCTCGAGGGGAGGGGGGCTACCCACCCCAGCCAGCCCCCAGCTGGGCCTTCCTGGTCCCTGGAGTCACCACAGGGTCTCAGGCTCATCCCTCGATCCCCCGAGTCTCAATGTCCCTACTGACTTGTGCTGCGGGTTGCAGTGGAACCTGCTGACCCTGTGCAGCTTCACATGGCCCTGTGGCTTCAGGCCTGGGCTACCTGAGTGGGGACTCGCCATTCAGGAAAGTCACCTCCACGTGCCAGAGGAGCACCATCGTGGCAAAGGCAGCAGACCTTTTTTCTGTTTTATAAAATGTCTATGAAAAGCAGACAAATGGTTCTGAAAACAAGCAAATTCTACAGGGACTATGAGGCCTCTCTGCACCGGTGGGAGCTGCTGCCCTGCCCACCCCTGCCTTTGATAGGTTCAGCCAAAATCCTCATCCCCCACCCCTGTACCTCAGGTCCTACTGAGTCTCAAGAACAGGTGCAACTGCTTAGGCAGATGCAAGGAGGCAAGTGGGCAGAAATCTGCACTCCTGAGACAGGCACTGGTGGAATGGGCTGTGGGCTCTCGGGCACAGTACTCTTGCAGAGGCCAGTGGGGAAGCTCCGGGGCTCCTGAGCAGAGGCTGAGCAGGACAGAGTTGGGTCTGGGACAGGAAAGGGCCTCCTGCCCTTTTGCCCACACTCCATCACCCTTCCCTGATTCCATCCCAGATTACTGAGGAAGGACAGACTTGAACTCAATCACTTGTCCTATCATGTGGCCAGATTCTCTGTGCCCCTCAGTTTCCTCTGTGATTGAGTTGATTGAGGCCATGAAAACAGGTGTCCACTGCTCCATGAACCCAAAGGGGGCTCTTCTGAGGCATTTGCTGAGTCCCTGAAACAACCCTGCATCCCGCCTCACAGGGTGCTGGGTTTACCCCAGGTAGAGGCCCACTTAGAGTTTGAGGAGCCCAGTAGCCCTCCTGAGGCCTCAGCCTCCTGCTTGCAAAGGCCTCCTTTGTGGGTGGACCAATGGGGTCATGTGCAGAGGGTAGGTGTTGCTTGGGAGCTGCCTCTCCAGGAGGCTTCGCAGCCCCTCACAGCTGTGGTGCCTAGGTGCCAGCTGCTGCTATTGCCATTGCCTACCTCAGTGCTCACTGCTGCACCCCGGCCGGGCAGCATGGGTGTCACCCCAGCCAGGAACAGTGGTGGAGGGCCCCCCTTTTCCCCTTGGGACCACTGGCCACTGCCCAGGTTCTCACTGGCCCTCATGCCCACCCTTCTGCCCACTGAGAGCAGACATGGCCACAGAAGGCAAGTGGACAGAGACATAGCTGCCCTGGCAGCCACAGAGAGCAAGATGGGCTGACCAGGGGAAGGAAGGGCCCTCTGTAGGCCCCGGGCACCCAGGCCAGTAGGAGGGATAGTGTGGGAAAGGTCTCACACCCAGCTCCCAGCCCGCCAGACAGGCCAAGGCAGGGCTGGGATAGCCAGGGACCCCCACCCCAGGTCCCAGGCCTCAGGTACTTCACAGGTGGGAAGGTGGAGGCCAGAATCCTAGCAGTTAGGACTCAGAGTCCTAGCATTTGAGGCTATAGCTTTCAGGTTTCTTGGGACCACAGGGAGATGCTGAGGGAACAGAAAATGGGCCCTTGCCTAAGGCTGGCACTCATGCCCCTAGGGAGCCTGCGTAAGGATTCAGGCCCCACTGGCCACCCCAGGCTTCCTCTTGCTTGTCCAGCTGCTTCAGCTGTGCCCTGGGGGACAGAGATATTGTCTGAGACCACACCCCACCCCTCATAGTCTATGCCTCCTCTCCCTGCCCCTGTCCTCTACCACCAGCCTGGCGGTCTGAGTTGGGGAGCCAACCCCACCCTGCCCAGCTCACTCTTCCCAGGAGGACCCAGCTCTGCCATGAGCCGGGGCCAGGGTTCAGCCGATAAAGACGGCTGTTGCTTCACGTCAGAAAATCAATACTCACTCACAGTGTCCCAGCAATCAGGGAGGGGACCACAGGCACCAGCCACTGGGCAGAACTGTGGCACCCGAGGTCAGCCCCCTGTACTCCCCCACCCCACCCTACGCCTTTGTGGATGGTCAGCTTGAGGCTGGCCACCAGGGTGGTACTGGGCCTGAGGAGGAGGCTGGAGCCCACAGGGCAGCTCTACCTCTTTACATCCCCCCAGCTGGGGAGGAGTCTAGACCTGGGTGCCTTTCTGCAGCCAGGGACCAGCTGCATCTTCTCCCAGGTGCAGTGACCTCCTGCCCCAGGACAGGTGCTGTCTGGACCGTCCCCAGGGCCTGGCAGCTCCCTGGTCCCCTGAGGTGTGACTCACTGGGGACAGTGAAATGGAAGGAGGCATTGTCCCCACCACAGGTGTGAGGGTTAGACAGAGGCCAGAAGCAGGACCCCAAGGCTCCCCCAGCCTGTGACAGGCACCACGCCTGGTACCTGTTGGTTTCAGTGCTTCCCATTCCCACCTCTGCCCCACCGCTGTCAGCTTACAGGACCGTCACCCACTGCATTAGGCCCCAGATTGTGCAGCAGTGAGCAGAGTTCAGCAGGGGTTGAAAGGAGCCAGGGCTGGCCACACATGGTGGGCAGAGAATTGTGTAAGAGCAGCAGGCGAGGCTAGACCCATGGGCTCCCTCCAGTCCCAGCCACCGTAAGAGAAGGCCCCGTGTGACCCACAGGAAGGAAGGTTCTGGGCTAGAAACCCTTGTTCAGGGAAGGCTTGGGGCTCTGCACTGGCTGGGCTGGCTGTGCGTGCCCTCCTGCAACCGGACCCCAGAGACCCACAGGGCCGCACTGGGCAGTGAGCAGCAGACCCTGGGGACCGAGTGCAGGTTGGGGACAAAGTGGAGTCCATTTTTCCACTGAGCAGGTGAGCTGTTCACATCATGCCTTCAGCACCAGCTCTTGATAACATGAAATAAAAGCGCCTGGAGGTGGCTTAGCTGTGTGGCTGGCCCAGCATAGGCAGGGGCCAGGCAGGCCCTGTCCAAGCACAGGGCCACTTTCATAGTGGTGTGGCCCCAGGCCGTGTGGGCCACCACTCCCAGGCTCTGGTCCTCCTGTGGGGATCCAGACCCTTTGATCCCCAGTCCTCTCTCCATAGCTCTGCCTCCAAGCCGGAGCTCAAGTGCATGTCCAGTGTGTCCATGGTTCCTCTCGCTCCATGTCTTACCTGGGGGCGCACCTGTCTCCCCCAACCAATGCATTTCAGGTTAGTCCTTCCATCTTGGCTGTGCCGACAGACGTGGGTCTGGGACTGAGAGAGGGCTGGGTTCCTGCTGGGCTTTAGGATCATGGTCAGCTCCTCAGCTCCAAGACTCATCTGTGAATAGTGGGAGGGCTTGTGAAGGCCCATAGCACCCAGCTGCCCGATGTGTGGATTTGCTGTGAGTGAGCCCTCCTGGCCTGTGTGGGGTCATGGATTCGTGGTCAGAGGGACCTGGGCCAGACGTTCTTATGCTATTTGCTAGCCATATGACCTCAGTAACCTCGGCCTCTCTAAGATCGCTTTTGATCAGAGCACAAGTGGCCCCAACGGCTTCCCCCGACGCTGCTAGCAGCCCCGTCCCTCTAACACTGTCCTTGGGTCCATAGTTCACACCTGGGGGTCCTGCGGCTTGAGATAGGCAGACCCGTCCAAGTGCCATGGCCACAGCTACAGAACCAGGGCTAGAATCAATCATTTTATATGCAAGTCTGGCATTCATGTGTGGCTTGGTCCAAGGAACACCTGTTCCACTGATCTCTCCCCTCTCCCCAGCCTGCTATGTGACCTTGGGGGATTTGCTTCCTCTCTCTGGGCCTTGGTTTTCATTTTTCTGTTGGAGGTGGTGGAAGCAGATGTTCTCAGGGTCCACAGTGTGCCTGCCAGCCTGCCCACTCTGTGCCCACCCCGAATCTTCTAGAACTCCTTCAGCCTGGGGCTGTCCTCCCCTCCCCCCAGCTTTTTTTCTTTCCTTTTCTGTGACTTTTATCAAAGGCAAACAGCCTGATCCCTGAGATAGGGCCGCTCCCCAGCTGGCCTGTGGGAGCCGAAGGGCAGGGCCGGGCGGGAGTGATGGGCCGATTAGATAAGTGGGTGCTGGTGGTGACCTGGGTGGACACCCACATGCTGGCTGCAGAGCCCACTGCGCAGGGTCGGGGCTTCGGGGTGGACTTGGTGCTCAAGAGGCCCTGCCATCAGCACCCAGGCCCTGGCCTTTTTACGGAGGTGCTGATTGGCAGGTAAGGGAGCCCCAGCTCATTCAATCCCCCAGCACACCACAGCCTCCCCAAGGCAAAGCTGTGAGACAGTCCCTGGGGCCACTGCTCGGGTGGGGAAACTGAGGCCTGGGGAGGTTGCAATGGCTGAGTCCTGTGAGCTCGCCACCAGGCAGCCTGGCTGGATTCTCCATCAGAAAGAGCTCGGTCTTAGCAGAGTGCCTGTACCCTGCTGTGTGGCCTTAAGTAACTTGCTTGAGTTCTCTGGGCCTGCTTCACAGGCATGTTGGCAAACCCACATAGAGAAGAAAACAATGCCAGTGCTGGGAGCCCAGGAGCCCCAGGGTACAGGACACCACCTCCTTCCACAGATGTGTAAATTGAGGCTCACAGCATGTACACAGCCACTAGGGCAGAGGCCGAGGCTTGACTTGTCCTTTTAGACCCACTCTGACTCTCAGGCCCCTGCTCTGGCCAGATCCACTGCCACCCCACAGCTAGGTTCTGTCCCAGAACCTAGTCCTTGTCCCAGTGCTGGGCCTGGTACCTGTCAGGGGTCCATCCAGGTAGCATGGGGACACCGAGGCCAGAGCTGGAAGAGTCAGCCATTCCCCAGCTGAGGGAGCAGCTGGCTGGGGCCTGGCCTTCCACCATGGGCACTTCCCTTGCCTGTGGGGGCTTCTGGCGACTGCCTTGCTCCCTAAAGCTCCCAGAACAGGGGCTGTGCCCCTATCCCTGTCCCAGCTGCACTGTGAGGATTCATGACAGTGGTCACTAAGCCACAAGGCCAAAGACCAGGTCATGATAGCCTGGCCTGCCCACGTTGCCAGCATGGCTTGGCAACTCCCCAGCCTCCTGGGACTGGCCACCTCCTCATCACTGCTGTCTGGGTCCCCTGCTTCTCAAGCTGTCTTCCTGTCTGTGCCACACCACTACCTACCCAGCATGGGGTTCGCTGTCCTCCCCTCCAGCCCTCACTCACTCTCAGCCTGGAGCAGGGCCCTGGCCAGGCACCTGTGCAGGGAGTTAGCAGCCTCGCACAACCCCGCTTGGCTGGTACAGTTTTACTTCCTCTGGGGGGAGGCCTCTGCTGGGTGCTAACTCAGCCTTAATACCTGACTGACCCTGTTTCAGCCACACGAGGGGTTGGGGCAGGAACGGGGAGCCAGAAGGAGGCTATCTGAGCAGATGGATGTCGCCACGGCTGCTGTGGACAGTTGCATAGGTCGTGCCCTATACTAGGCACTGGGGTGAGCTGGGGTTGAAATCAGCTGTGCTCCCCTTCCCACTCCAAGCCTTGCTGTGGCCCTATGTCCACCCTCAGGAGGCATCCTCAGAAAGGGTCAGCGAGATCCTGGACCAGGGAGGTGGGTTGTCATGGTGACCATTGTATCGGCCCCACCTCTCACAGGGCTCCATCAGCACCAAACCCTGAGTGGTGGGTACTGCCCTCCCCGGGGGTACTGTCACCTTTATCAGGAGCCAGCCTGCTCTCTGGCAGTGAATGATACACAGGGGATGGGCGGCCGCCATGGAAAATGCCAGCCATGCTCTTATCTGGGAGCTGGGCCCATGGCCGTGAGCTCTGATTAGGGTGGGGGCCGTTTGCCTGTGGGTGGACAAGTGGGTGGGGGCTGGCTCTGCCTCTTTCCCCACAAGGGCTGGGGGCAGCTGGAGCCTAGTGCTTCCTGAGAAAGACATCAGCACCCCTGGGGGCAGCAGGAGTGGTATGACAGGAACTGCCCATGCCCCCTCAGGGTGACCTAGGCCCACTGTGCCATCTGTGGGGACTCAGCCATCGAGGGTTCCTCCTCATCAGGGAAAGGTGGGCACCAGCCTTGATGAAAGTGTCGTCTCCTCATGGGTCCTGAGGGCCTTGTGCCCAACTAGGCCTGCCCCGTGAGTAGACCCTGAATGCAAAGCACAGGGACATGGCCACTTAGCTCTCTGTATTTCTTGGGGTGCAACGGGGGGTGGGGTGCACAGGACCCTAGCAGAACAGAGGTGCCTGTGCAGTTTAGAGCCTCCAGTGCCCAGCACTCTGGGGAGGACCCAGCTGCATGGCTGGGTGAGTGGGCAGCCAGTGCCCTGGGGAGGTATCCTCTCACTCCACACCCACCCTGAGGGCCAGCTGCATGGGGACCAAAGACACAGACACACCCAGAACACCCAGACAGGTCAGCAACTGTCCTGGTGACAGGTGGCAGTGGCTCTGGAACCAGTATCCAGGTTTATATCCTGGCAGCTGCGGTTCTCTGGGGACTCAGTTTCCTCTTCTGGACAAGGGAGAAGCTTTATCAGAATAGGTGTCTTTTTCCCCTTAGGACCACACAGCGCTGTTCATTCCCATCCTTGTCCCTAATGATGTCCACCCTGTGGACATCCTCTGCCAGGAAGGGGAGGAAGGTGGCCTTTGGGAGGGCCCTGGGTCCCCATGTCTTAGGTACACTAATAGAGGACAGGCCGGGGTCACTGAAGAGGCTACTTTCTTACCCCTCAGCCCCAGCTCTTCTCCTCTTGGGCCAATCAAGGGGTGCAGGGCCTTGTCAGCCTCCAGTGCTGGTCCACTGCCATCTTATCTGCCCTGGGGAAGACAAAGGCCCAGTTAAAAGTCTCTGCGGGGCCTCCTGGCGTATTTACACCTTATCTCTGCCATTAGGCGGGCAGTTATCTGATAATCGCGCCCATTAAGGCCACAGCCTGCCCGATGGGGCTCCAGGAAGTGGGGCCGCCGCAGCACTCCAGCCAGGGGACCAGGCCAGGCCATGTGAGGCCTCCGTGGGCCAGCAGCCCTAGCGGCAGGCAAGGCATGAGGTGGCACTGCCCTCCTGAGCGGAAGGTGTGCAGCCTAGGAGGCACCACCCCCTGAGGGAGTGGCCATCATCATCCCTGTTGTCCAATGAGGCTGAGGCTCAGGGAGGGCAGGAGGCAGCCAGGTGTGTGGCTAACACCACTAATTAGCACAACCTGAGGGCTCGAAACAGCAAACAGCCCATCGTGGTCTGTGGCCAGAAGCCCTACACAGTTGTCTGCAGGTCAAGTTGATGCTTGCAGCTCAGCCCTGCCTCCAGCTCCTCATATGTGGCCGCATGGCTCCAGTGTCCACTGGGTCTTCTCTGCCTTCTCTGTCCCCTTTTCTTACAGACACTGGATTCAGGGCCCCCTGCTAATTCAGGCTGACCTCACCTCGAGATCCTTCATTAAAAAAAAAAAAAAGATCATTCAGTCACATCTGCTGAAACCTTTCTCTGCACGTGCATGGATGTAGGTGGACAGACCATGTGGGGCCACCACTCAGCCACTGCACAAGGTTCCACAGATGTCACACAGTGGGGCCAGGTTCTGCAGACCCTGTTCAAGCCTGCAGTGTAGCTAACCAGGGGCCCCCAGCCACCTGCCCACCCTGAGCTACAGATCCCTCGCTGTGGTCTCTGCAGGACATGGGGCCCTAAAAAGTCCTCCCATGCCCCCTCCCCATTACTATAATAGAAGCCCACACACCATCTTCCCTCTCAGCCCCTCGGCAGGCCTGCTGAGGTTCTACCCAGTGGGAGGTGACTGGGGTTGCCACGGCCAAACCTCACCCTAGTCCTGTCTCTCCACAGAGGACCTTGAGCTGGAGCTCCAGGATGGGCAGACGTGTGTTCGGGCCCGACTCAGCCTGGCCGAGGGCCTGTCCTGGGGCCCGTTTCCCGGGAGCATCCAGACCAGAGCCTCATCCCCCAGGAAGGCAGAAGCGGTAAGGACCAGCCTAGGGCAGTGTGCAGCCCCTGAACTAGGCTGGCTGATACCCCAACCCAGGGGCTCTGGCCCCTTTGGGAGGAGTCTGTCAGGAGACAGGAATTGCAGTGTTGGGTCCCAGAGGGTGGGAAGCTCCCCTGGAAATGGGGGTTAACCTTAACCTCCAGTGGGAGCTGGGCAGAAAGGGGGAAGAGGCTCAAGAATCAGGGTTCGGAGCTGCCATGATGTCCTTGTGTCGCAGTGACAAGGAGGCCCAAGTGGGGCAGGTGCTGCAAGGCACTTGGGGGCTTCAGTGAGGGAAAGAACGCCATCCCCCTTCTGCCCAGGAGAACCTTGTGATGCAAGGACGGGTGGTGTGGTGCAGTGGTCAGCGTGGCAGCACATACTGGTCAGCCCTCTTCATCGCAGCACCCTCACCTGGGCAGAGCCTCCCCATGGCAGCCCCCTTCCTGCTGGACACCATCTCACAGTGTGTCTGTCCTGGATTTACTTCTGGGCTCCTCTGTCTATGGCAGAGGGTTACAAGGGTTCCATTTTAAGTTGAAAAGGGCCTGCAAGTGTGAGCTGAGCTGCAGTGTGGACAGGATGTGATGACAGAAATTCACAGGGCTTGTACACAAGCCTCTGGGAGATACCTCCAAGCCCCATGGTGTTGGCCTGAGGGGGCCGAGTGGCACCCCGGTCTGCTCTTAAGCCAGGACCAAGTGTCTCAATGTGCAAGTGTTCCCAGGGCCTGGACTCTCATGGTCTCCTGAGGTGACTGGCATTCAAGCATGGCTTGGCCCCTGGTGTGCACTGGCTGGCCAGTGCCATATGGTGCCAGGTCTCTTGTCTAAGGCAGCCTTCCTGGCACTCCCTGCAGGTGAGGACAGGGCTGTGTGGGCTGGACTTCTCCAGTGCCCAGAGGCCAGAATTCTGCCCTGGCAGCTTTACCCAGCTCTGACCCGGCAGTTGGAGCCCCTGTTCCTTAGCTTCAGAAATGAGTTCCAGGACCTCAGCCTGAAGCAGCATCTGTGGGGAAGCAACAGCAGCTGCAGCTCCTGTGGCCCTGCACTGGCAGTCCCCCTCCACCTCACTACATGTGGGCCAAAGTCTCTGATGTTGAAAAGACCTCCCAGGTTCAAATGTGTAGCCCCATGGAGGCCCCTGGGTCATCCACACAGCCTTTTATTTTGTCCCAGGCCACTCAGTGAGACAGCAAGGGCTGACTCTGGACACAGGGTGTCCACTTTCATGTCTATGTTGCTTGTTGCCCAGGGTGCAGGTCTTTAGGCTGCTTACTTACTATGAGTCCTAGGCAGGTCCCTGCCCACTCTGAGCCTCCATTTTCCTCAGCTGTGGGGACCTTGGACAGGACACAAGGAGCCCCGAAGTTTCCTTTAGGCTGGAGTCTGCAGAACCTCCCACCTCTCCGAGGGAGAGGGAGGCAGAGCTGCCAGCTTTCTGTGAGCGGGCAGAAGCGGGCACCCCCACCTGTCAGGTGGCTGGGTGGGTTCAATGAGATGAGCCACTAGTGGCTGTTGACCTCGGGCATGCCCAGTGGATGCTGTGGCCAGCTGAAGAGGGGGCCCCAGGCAGGGATGTTAGGACAGCAGAAGCCTGCGTGATGGATCCCACTCCATGTGGGTCAGAAGCCTCGAGTTCAAGTGGCTCTGCAGGGAGTGAGATCTGCATCACTGGAGACTTCTGGGAGAGGTGTGGGGTTGAAGGAAGAATCGCAGGCAGAAGCTCTGTAGCTTCCATCTTAAAGTGTCATGAAAATCCATATGAGTGACGGAGGCAAAGGCAGGCATGGCCCAGAGCCAATGGAGATCTCATCCTGTCCTGTGCCTCTCTCTTCTGCTCCCCCATGGCGCGTATGTTGCAGACACTCCCCTCATCTCCCCCATCCCCAGGAGGTGGGTACCACTGTCCCCACTTTACAGATGACAGAACTGAGGCTCTGAGAAGGTGAGTTACTTGCGAGTCACTAGCATCAGAGCCAGGGAGAGCTGGAGCCCATGTGTGCCTTCACACAGGGCTGAGGGGCTGGCACCTCCGTGAGCCACCCCTCCCTCCAGGGTTTGCCTTCCTGCAGACTGGGACTCAGGTCAACCTGGGGAGGTGGCACAGGGTAGAAACCCTCCCCAGGCACAAGATGAGGCCAGGGGAGTGTGGGGGTCAGAAGAGCCTTTGGGCTCCAGCAGCCTCCCGCCCTCCTCCCCCCATCTCTGCAGAATTCAATCCTTGATTAACCCTTATCTCCCCAGCGAGCCACTATCTCTGCCTTGGCGCCAGGCGTCCAGACACCGCTCAGATGATTGATTTCTGAAAGATACGTGTGCTTTTCCGATACTTCGTTTATTGTCTAAATATTTTTGCTAACATCCAGCGGCCCCTTATCAAGCTCGGCTGATGGGTCCCCATTCTCTCCCCCTTGCTGCCTGAGGAAGACATTGCCTCCTGCCCCATGGTCCTATCAGCCAGGCAATTCCTCTTCTCCCCTCAGAGAAGGAGGAGGGAGCTGATGTGGACTTGGTAACCCTTCCTCGTGGTCTCCTTGGGCTGGGGCTGCTCACAGTGGGGGCAAGTTGGGGAGGAGGACTTCTCCCACGGTCCCTCACACACCAGCTATCGGGCCAAGCGCCCAAGAAGGAAACCAAGTCGCAAGGCCCTGAGCGGAGAGTTGATAGTCTTGATCTGGAACTGAGTTGCCAACCCTTCCCTGATCCAGCAGTGGTTTCCACCACTGCAAAACCAGGAGTTGGAGACTAGGTTCCTTAGGGGTCCAGCCAGCTCCAGACTTGGCCAGGCACAGAAGAAACACATGATGGGTGGATGGGTGGATGGGTGGATGGATGAGTGGATGGATGGATGGGTGGACGGATGGATGGATGGGTGGAGGATGGGTGGACAGGTGGGCGGATGGATGGATGGATGGATGGGTGGGTGGATGGATGGGTGGATGGATGGATGGATGGAGGATGGATGGAGGGATGGATGGGTGGGTGGATGGATGGATGGGTGGATGGGTGGACAGGTGGGTGGGGGGATGGATAGGTAGGGGGATGGACACATAAGTGGGTAAATGGATAGGAATGGATTAATAGGGCCATGGGTGGACAGATGGATAAGTATGTGGATGGATGGATGGATGGATGGATGGATGAAAGGACAGGAAAACAGATGGCTGGATGGATGCACGTGTGGATGAATAGATAAATGAGTAAATGGGTGGGTGAATGGAGAGTGGGAGAGTAGATGGAAGGATGAAATGAAGATTGGATAAATGGGTGAACAGTAGATGGGTAGATGGACAGACAGAGTAGTGGACTGAATGAGTGGATGTGTTACCAGAATTTTTGTTGGAGTCCTCAATTTTTTTGGAGGGGGCAGTACTGGGGTTTGAACTCAGGGCCTCATGCTTGCTGAGCAGGTGCTCTTACCACTTGAGCCATTCCACCAGCCCTTTTTTGTGTTGGGTTTTTTCTAGATAGGGTCTCACAAATTATTTGCCTGGGCTGGCTTTGAACTGTGATCCTTCTGATCTCTGCCTCCTGAGTGGCTAGGATTACAGGCGTGAGCCACCAGCACCCTGCTTGAGTCCTTAATTCTTGCATCTCTGCAAGAAAAGAGTTCAAGCAAGATGCAAAAATAGTGAAAACTATAGCAATACATCCTCCAGAAATACAGGTCATCTCAACGAGAAGACCAACCCCCAATCTCTGGATGTCCTGCCTCCATATTGGTGTAAGGGGGACTTGTTTGAATCCCTCCCTCTTCTCCACCTCGTAGGGCATGTGCTCCTCAGTGACTGACATCTCCCTTGCTGTGTAACAGCAATTCCTTTGTGCACGTGATTACCCATCACCACCTAAGAGAAGCCCCTTGGGGGGAGGGGACGTGAGGGGACTCTGCAATCACAAGATTAAAATGACATGTTAATGACCCAAAGGAAACTTTTGGTCACCCCAGCTGCTTTGAGCTTGAGCTGGTGGTGTGCTTTGGCAGCCTTTACGTTCTTTTTATAACTAGACAGGAGATACAGCTAACTTTTGTGTAACTGATTTAGTCCTCAAAATCAGTAAGTTGCTAGGTACAGACTGAACACTCCCTTGCATTTCCTTGGCTTGCTGCTTATATCTAACTAACTAACAGGTGGATGGTGAATGAGTGCCTGGATGGATAGATGGAAATTGGTTGGACAGATGGGGGATGGACAGATGAGTGGTGAGATGAGCAGGTGGATGGTGAATGGGTGAATGGATGGGTGGATAAATGGATGAATGGGAGATGGGGGTGGATGGATGGTGGATAGGTGAGTGGACAGATGGATGCATAGAGAACCTGGATGGCTGGATAGATGAATGGTGAATGGATGGATACATGATGGGTGGTGGATGAGCAAGGGAGCTAACTCCTTCACCCAGCCTGGCCTTGCTGGCTCTGCCCTTGGCCAATCCAGTGTCCCTTATAGCTCACTCACTTTAGTCACAAGCCACCACAGCATCAGTGAGGCCAGGGGAGGCCCCTGGCTTCCAAGCAGGGTGGTGGACCCAGCAGGAAAAAGCCCCTGCTCTAGAGGTTGAAATAGGACCACCTGAGCCCAACCTCCACATAACTTCTGGAGATAGATGTGGAGTGGGTCAGCCCACAATGGCCCAAGGCTCCCTCACCTGGGGAGGGTATAGGAGTTCTGAAGGCACCACAGGTTGAGAATCCATCACTCCTGGCCATGTAGAGAGCCCCAAAGGCTGGCACAGGGGTCACTGCCATGGCAGAGCCCAAATCACAACAGGGCAAGCCTGGCCAGCAGTATCTCTGCCAGCACTAGAGGGAGTTGAGTCAGACCCTCCCTGTCAGTTTCACTTATGTCTTTGTCATAGGTAATAAATTCAGAAGGGACGGGATACCCAGGGAAGATCTCCTCCCCAAGACTTCTGGTGATGACTCAGCCCACATTCCGGTGACTTGGAGATGCGCAGCCCAGCTCTTGTGCACTGTGTCTTTACCCACACT